GCGATCTAGCCGCATTTTTCTACACTGGCTTTAAAGGTCCGTTCTCAGGAATTAGGTAAGAAAAAAAATCCTCTGGCACACAGGGTAACATTTTTCATGAATTTGAAGGAACGCTATCGAGAGTTTCTATTAACAGGTGGTTTGAATTTTAAGAAATACAGAATACCAGATCGGACAGAGCGGTTGAAATCGAGCCTGGAACTACACTTTACTAATTCCCTGCTATACGGGGCTTTTAACAAACTACTTGGCCCGGGAAGCGGGGAAATTAGCGGTGTTGTAACACCAACCCGATGTTAAATTCCTCGCTAAGTCCCGGGGGCCGGGGGGCCGGAGTTTCCAATGACTGCAGCATAAACTTAAAGAAACGAAGCTGGTGACTAACCTTTTCCTGTTCAATCTATGTTTTTAGATGATGATTAATTTAACTGTAACCCACAGATAAGAACTTGCCTGATCTCGTTTGGCCAACCTGGTTCTTATACTGTTGGGTAATAAAGAAGCAAATTTCTACCAGCAGGTTATGAAGGCACTAGGTTCCTACACGCGGGTTTTTACTGTATTAAAAACTAACTCAGTATCACCAACTCGAAAATCCTCGGTAATGGAGACTTACAAATCAAGGCTGCTGAGCGTATTTGATTATCTCTGACGGACAGAAAAATAGAACTGTTCACACAAACACTGAAAGTCTTACTAAATATTTAATAAATAAACTTTCACAAAAATAGGTGTGTGATGACTAACCTGCTCCTGCTCATGCGCTGATTCAGGTGATGAATCAGAAGAGAGGTCAGAGTACTCAGTCTTCCAGTCGTCCTCTGATGGCCATTCATGTTCAGGTTTGGGGTTTCCTTTATTATCCTGCAACAAAATACAAAATAATACTTAAAACCACCAATCTCCCTTTAATAAAGTGTGGACGTGTACACATTTCAAAACCTTCATTTTAAGTACAATGCGATTACAGTGACCAACGAAAAACAATTGTTAATATGAAAACAACTTTGACACGATTAACTAAGTTCAAAACAAGCCGCACGTGCCGAAAGCAAAGATCAACAGTCAAAACTTGGCCTATATAGTAAAAGGCAGTCTGTGACTGCATGTGGCTACTGTTTCAGTTTTGTAGAATATAATAAAAAAGGAATGAAAATTGTAGGAAACGATAGAAATTCAGATTGTTTATCCATAAATATGCTATCTTTGCTCTAGAAGGTATGTATTTAAAAAACATCAACAACAAAATAAACACGAAAACGAAAAAAAAAAAAATGAGAAAGACAGAAGGAAAAAAGAAAGGGTACTGAGCAGGATTCGAACCCGGCACCTTGTCAAAAATTATACGAGCACATGGTTAATGTGTCAACAACAACTGACAAACTATTTTAGGCGTCTTTACAGTTATTTGTTGAGAGAAATTTTTCCTACCGAAAATTCTGACTTCTCGGCGGAAGAAAGAGAAACAGAACAGGGAGGAGGGAGATATCGATGAAAAGGTAATTCAGTGGCTTTTGGAGTGATGATAAGGGACCTAAGGGATGTGGGGTTGGACCCTCTCTCTCCGGCGTTGCGTGACATAGAGAGGGAGAGAGGGGGGCCAGAACTGCAGTAGACACACGGTGGTTACGCCTTCTTTGTGTGGTATGTTGGTGTAGAGGCGAAGCGCTGAAGGTCAAAAAACGACCTTTACGACTAAGTTCAAGAAACGAGTGTTACCCGTCGCCAATTTTTAAACCAAGTTTAGGGAGGAGGGAGATTTACCCCCCTGTACCTCTCCCCTCTCAGCGGGATTGGAAAGAGAAACATTATCTTTATCAACGCGCACGTACAAGAAATTCGCATTCAAAATAATAGAATCAAAATCAACACTTGCAAATCCTTTTTCTTTTCTTTTGAAAATGTATTCAGAAACACAAAATTCGCAGATCACAGTGTATTCTTTGCGGGCGGGAATTTGTTACGTAATAAAACAAAAGGCGGGAAAATGTCATCACGTGAAACATCATCCGAGGTAGATTTAACCAATCAGCTGCCGCCACGTCACTAGGCTTTGAATGACATCGTTTGTTGTTTTTGTAGTTTGTTCAGTTCGCTCTTCAACGGCAAACTGTTCAGGATGAACTCAAAATTTAATAAGAAAACATCAAGGAAATGATACCGGCAAAAGACAGGGATTTATCTCTTTTTACTCAGGAATATGCTAAGGAGTTGTTCGAAGCTCAAGGAAACATCATTTATTAGGATATTTCACGAAAGCCCAAAGCTACGCACGATTTGATTTGTATAGCTAGTGTTCTTGGAAAGTTGAAAACAAACTTATGCTATTTACGCGATGAAAATCTTGCAATGGACACTTATGCTATACAGTGGAGAACAGCGAAGTGTTAACCTGTAAGGAAAATTTTTTGGGTGTTGCTTTCAACCGTTGTCTCGGAGATACAATTTTTTTCTGTGGGTTGTTATTTCAAAAACCAACACTTCACCGAACTGCAAGGACCAGTATTTACCAAAGAAACGCTCAAGAACTAACAAAGCAACAGCTATAAAAAAGACTTGTCTGTTTTCGGGACTTTCAAAAGAACTTCCCTAGACTTAAACTGTTTTTGTAGGAAGCCCTGGACGATAAATGTGAAACTGTGAGTTCAATGTGTTTACTCTTCATTTTTTTTAATACCAAACTAAGCTCATTTGTTTGAATTGAACATGAACTGAACATCTTTCAATTGCTTTTATGATTGTTGTTTGTTACTTTATGAAAAGGTATGAATTAAAATTGATTTAGAAATTAATACTGTGGAAATTATGTGCTTTTGTTTTTGCTAAAAGTTCTTGTTTTCACCCGATAATATCATCTTATGGCTGCTTAAAGATACGAAATTTCTCTTCTTGTGTTCAACTCCATGTTTTAATATCAGCTACAGTTACTTGTTCTAAACGTTCTCAGTTAAAACATTTTATGGAGTTAGTTTAATCAGTTGAAAGAAATGAATTTGAAATGATATTTTGAATCTGCTAAAGTTTGTGATTTGATTTCAAAAGCAAATCTCGTGTTTTGTCGAGTATAAAAATGACAAAGAAAGGAAAATGGCCAAAGGCAAGAGCTGAGTAGAAATAAACTGTAAACAAAGAATAAAGAAACAAATTGCGATAAAATTGGAAAACTTACGTGGTAGTCTGTCCCAAGTACAGTGATGTTTCCGTGCTGCTTTACAGCTGATGCGAGATTCATCACCTGCTGTGGAGTCATCTTCACACCTCTAAGGTTCAGTTCCTCCAGGTGAGGAGCGCTGCTGAGATGTTTAATTATGGTGTCGACTCCTGCACCCAGAAGAGGATTGTCTGACATGTAGAGCAACTTCAAGTTTGGAAGATCTTGTTCAAATACTCTGTTGATGAACTCCACGGCAGGTGATGATGTTACACTGATACCATGGAGTGTTAACCACTCCAGTTTGTGTGTTGAGATCCTCCTCATCAGAGACTCTGTTACCTCAGCATCAAACACTTCACCGTCTTTACCCCAAACCCATACCACGTGTGGAGCGGTGATAAACAGCATCATCTCCATCATCAGTTCCACTTCTGACCTGTTGACATAAGCTATAATCCACCGAACCCTGGAGAGACCATGACGCTTCGAACAACAGCTGCTGCTGTTCTCTTCACTTGACTCATCACCATTCATGTTTGTCTTCTTTGTTGTCTCTTCTAAACTAACTAACGTCTTTACCATTTTAAAAGGAAAAGGAATGCTAGCATCTGTACTATTTACAATATGAGTAAAATAAAGGTGAGTGTTGTTTTCTTCTTTCATTAAGAAAAACTCGTTTACTCTACGCCATGGAAATACAGTCAAATATTCTGATGCTTTCTGTTTTCCTGTTCTACTAACTATAACAGCCTTTAATTGCTGTGTTAAACAAATTAAATTATTATAACTTTGCTTTGTATACTGGCCGCTGTCAGAGAAAAATATGTACAAAAGTGAAGCAGTAGTTTTAACAAAATTTTCCTTTGCTGCAATATTCAGCTGCTCAGGATTTAAAATGAACAAAACACCTCCTAGATTAGACAGAGAAGTGGGGAAAAGTTCTGTTCTTGTATCTGCTGAACAGCAGAAGAATAACTGTGTACATAGAGTTAAAAGATTTCTTTGTGTTTCTGACAAATCTTCGACTGACGGTGCTTGGTTGTCGAAGCTGTACTCTCCGTCTTCCTTCGCCGCCATTCCCAACAGATGAATCAAGATCTCACGCGCGGCTTCTTCTGACATTTCAGCAACAAATTTAAAAACTTCCTTCAACTTGAAGATCTTTTCAACTGAGTCGACTTTGAAAAGGGAATTGTTTTTACTTTCTTGAGACAACAGTTCTTCTTTTAGAAATAAAGAAGCCAAAAACTCCTGCAGGGATTTGTGAATGAAGTGCACGGCTTTGCACGGGTTAAGAGCGGACATGTTTAGCAGCTGAAACAACCCGGCCTCGATCAGTTTCTCAGTCAAAACGTAATCCGGCAGTTTACTGAGAGGAAAATAAAGTAAATCTTGTAGCAGTGCGTCAAAGGCTAGTTCTCCTACTTTACAGAGTTCTTCTTTGTGATCGTCAACTTTTTCCGCCCGCTTTTTTTGTTTTTCTGACATATGATTAAACATAGTCTGCAAAAACTGAAAATATATCATCGGCCGTGATGAAGGCAGTCCTCGACAGTCTTTTTCTTTCCAAACCAACAACAACATTAAAAGCAAAATAGGTATTTTTGCTACATCTTCCAGGTCTTGTTGCTTCAAGTATTCAAAAAACTCTATAATATCTTGAACATCTTTCAAGAATCTACCGGCGAACTCTACTTGTCCCTTAAGGTCAAAACCGTCGATCTCAAATTGAGCATCGCTGGAACTTTTCAGTCCCTCTCCTTTCATGTCTCTAGATGTTATAACAACACAGCAATCCCTCAACTGCTTTTTCTCCCAGATTTTAAGAACAGGTGATTGGCTTGCTGCGCTGTGTACGTATTCATCGTAGCCGTCCAAAATAAGCAACACGTTTCCTTGGTGGCGACGAACGTAATCGTACAGGTTGTCAGTGGAAATCGGGCCATCACTCGCGAGAAGATTAGCATTCCTCAGAATGGCTGGAACATCGTTGAGGTTACAAACATCGCGTAATTTGACCAAAAGTACGAGATCAAATCTTCCTAACTTTCCTTTAAATTTCTGTTGGGACCAATCAAATGTAGCTTTCTGCGTAAAAACGGTCTTGCCGATACCTGGTCGTCCGTGGACCAAAATGCGCTTAGGCGTATGATGAAGTCTTCCGCCGTCAAAAATGTCGGTGTAGTGTTCAAGTTCCTTCTGTGTTACTCCGCTGGGCTTCTTCTCATCCATAAGCCAAGACAACTGGGTATAAATTTCATCAATATGAACGGCAGAGCTTTGGTCCCACGGAACGATTTTGACTTTGCTGTTGGTTTCATAAATTGATCGCAGATGTTTCTGGCACTCCTCGAGGCAGAGAGAATCTGTTAAAGAAAATTTTAAGTTCCTTTTTGTTAAAGAATTGTTCGTTTATAACTTGATATCTTAACAGGTGAGGAAAGTTAAAGGGTGGTAGTTGACGCACAAAATATAGGCCCTCATTTATATAAACTGATCAGATCACCAAATATAAATAAAATTTCCATATTCAAAAACAAATTATCCTCAACTCATGATACACCAAAAGAAATGTAAGTAACAGTGCATATAGATATCAGGGCTCTAAAACACCAGAATATAGTGTAGGAATATAAATACAACGGTCAACGTAGAAGTAATGCTCTTTTTTAATTGAGTTTATTAATTGAATTGAATTTATTAATTCATTTATCTATTCTATTTTCTTCTTTTTCACCTGCTTACACACTGACTTTAATTTGATGAGGAGCTAACTAGAAAATCTAACAGTTTATCTAGCTTCCCCAGCTCGCACTTATTATTTCTCTTACATTATAAAGTTATAACCTAGCACAAATTTCAGTTATGTAAAGTTAACAATGTAATTTCACCGAGCTAAATATAGAATTATTAATTATTGAAATTACAATTCTGGGCCCAGTTGTTCGAAGGCCGGTTAGCGCTAACCTAGGGTTAAATTTTAACCTGGGATTCTTTTTCCTTTTATCAAAAGCACTCTCCCGAATAATTTTCTCTATTCTTTTTAGAGTATCCAATCATCAAATTGTACGTAAAGAGAATAAAACTGAATTTGATTTTTAAGCTCTCAAATCTGAGTTCAAATTTCACACTAACCCTGAGTTATCTTAACCCAGCTTCGAACAACCCGGCCCTGAATATGGCGGGATGGGCAACCTTGGCCGAGTAACATGTAGATGTAAATATCTTTGAAGACTGCATCAGTAAAGCAAGTGTAAAGGGGCGTTACCCCACAAAGAGAGGTTCAGAGAGGAGACACCGCCAATAGAGGGCTACCTCTCCAAAGCCGTTAGTGACGTTTGTGGTTGAGTGGTAAAAATAATTCCTGTTTTTTATGACTTGCCTCGAGGACGGTTAACGCAGGTTAAAAATACCTTAGCAAAATTCTAACAGAAAGATTGAATGAAAGAAAGAATTTGACGCTTGAAGTATCACATCATACTTCTTCTTTGCTACTTATTATTGAAATATAAATAAACAACTACTACAATAAAGATAATTTTATATTGCAATATAACAAACGACAAAAGTCATTTTCATATTAAAATAAGCGTTTTTAATCTTCTGTATGTCTACCACTTCCGTTTTATATTTAGATATAATAGTACCTGGTAACTCCTCCTTAGTGGCCACAGAGCTAGAGGGCTGCTTCCTTGCTGACAGGTCTGTCAGTTAAACAAAATAGAAAAGAAATTGAAGTGAGACATTTAAAACAACAGTTATTCAAAAGTATTTGGGGAAAATGTTTATCAATCTGACATCTTAGGTTCTGGGTCTCAATAAAAAAGCACTGAGCAGCTTGTCTTGGGACCGGAAGCTTACATCTTAGCTTTTACATGATTGTGGGTGATACTGACATTTTAATTCACTAAATGATGTCTGGTTGCAGTGTGGACAGTTTTAGACAATAAATTTATCTTTTAAACTTGGTTATGCAGGATTTCTGCTGCACACTAAGTTGATTCTGAATGGCATCTAGTAAGCAGTTGCAGTTCTAAAACATTTTCAAAACAGGAAGAAAAAAATATTTCTTGGGCCTTTCAAAACCACAGCAATCAACCAATCAGAGGGTAGATTTCTAGAATGATCGAAAACCAGAAAATAAAGCCAGCAGAGCAGAGAGTTTCTTTTATGGGTTAGGGTTCAGGGCTGTCACTATGGTTTCAAGTTTCAGAGCAGGGAATAGAACATCCTGGAAATTCTTTCGGTCCTATTTCCCTTTTATTTCCTATGAATAAAGTAGCCAGGGGTCATGCTCATAGCAGCCAGGGGAAATCCACACCTCCCGGCCCTTACTGACAGCCCTGTAATGTTGGTTGCTAATGTCCTCAGGGAGTGGGGGGAAGGAGGAGGAGAAGGAGATACCACCCTATTAAACAACTGAGGTGCTAGTCAAATAAAAAAATTCAATCTCGCTTTGTGGGCATGGAAGAAATTCATTTTAACCCCTACGAGGTACCAAAAGGAGAAGGAGATACTCCCCTTTAAGAAAAGCCGGGATGCTTTACAAAAATGGGGTGCAAAGAAAGTCATTTTTACAGCTTGCGGTTTGGGCAAGTTGAAGCTAGCATTTACTAGCCCAGACGTCATTTCAACTAGCCTCAAAAGCTTTTTGACGAACAGAATTACTTTCACAGTTCTTCTGTGATTCAAATTCCTCAAAAAACATCAATTGCCAGTCGGGCAAGTCAAAAACAGAATTCACCAGCCCGATAGCAAAATCCACTAGCCCCGGGCAATCGGACATACTTTCTTTGCATGCTGAAAAGACAGGGGTGCTTATCAAAAAAATAATAAAAATAAATAAAAACAAAAAGCATCCCTGGAAGGTAGCAGAATCTTGGTCTGTGGGTATGGCAGAAATTCACTTTAACCCCTGGGAGATAACAAAAAGAGGAAATAACCCCGCTATAAAAATAAACAGGCTGCTTAAAAAACAAACAAACAAACAAACAAACAAAAAAACCAGGGGTTTTGTAAAAAAAATCCAAAAGTAACTCCTAGAAAGTAACAGAATCTAGCTTTGTGGATGTAGAAGAAATTCATTTTAGTGCCTCAGAGGCACAAGTAACCCTAACGGATATCACTGAAGCTCTAATAATTAGACCCTTGTTTAATTAAACAAGGGTCATTTTAGACTTAAGGTCCCTAAGTATGCACTTAGAATTCCAAAACACTTCCCAGAATTCAAAACATGTCTCACAATTCAAAAACACTTCCCAGAATCCAAAAACACTTGTCAGAATCCAAAGCATGTCCCAGAATCCAGAAACACTTGCCAGAATCCAAAACAAGTCCTAGCCTGAGATAACAGCCGACATTTTGCAACGCCACCACTGGTTTCCCTGCCACATGACGTTCGAGAAACGAGCGCAGAAATTCCATACTGATGACGCGTCACTACCCAGATCTGGGTAGTGCTTCTGATTGGTCGTGCTGTGTGGGAAATTTGATTCAACCAATCAGGAGCACTACCCAGATCTGGGTAGTGACGCGTCATCAGTATGGAATTTCTGCGCTCGTTTCTCAGACGTCATTTTGCAGGGAAACCAGTGGTAGCGTCGCGAAATGTCGGCTGTTTTCTCAGGCTAAACACATCCCAGAATCCAAAACACGTCCAGGATGCCTTTGGATTCTTGGACGTGGTTTTGGTTTTGGGGAAGTGTTTTGGATTCTGGGAAGTGTTTCTGGGTTCTGAGACGTGTTTTGGATTCTGGGGAAGTGTTTTTAGGTTCTGGGACGTGTTTTGGATTCTGGGAAGTGTTTTTGGATTCTGGGAAGTGTTTTCGAGCCACCGTGGCTCTCAAATCACCAACACAGCAATTCACTCACTGAGCGCTGTTTGCCGTGAAATGCGCGGTCGTCACCTTTAGTTCGGATTGCTCAAAATTTCTTTACTGCTGGCTTTGATTACACCACACCCAGACCAGCGTTGTCAAAACATTTTCAGCTTGATTTACAAAAACGTCACGATTCCTTATGTTTTATATCTTTTAGAAAAATGGTTCGCAACGTATTTTGAACTGGCTCCGAGTACAAAATTATGCACAACTTCATTGTTTAGAGCTCGACTTGTGATTGGCTAATTTCAAAATTTGTCTCAAAATTTTTTCGGTGGCCTCGGGCTCGGTTCGTGTAGGCACACTGTAAAACCACTAACAATAGAGAGTAGAAGTCGTTACGTCATGTTGCTATGGTAGCAAAATTTTTGGATGACAACAAACCGAAAAGTCACTTAAAAAGAGAATTCGCAGTGTTTCAAACTTCATCGATCTTATTCAATCTCATTTAATTTTACAAAAGTTGGCGAAATTTTCTGGGGTTGAATCCAAAAGGACCGTATCTAAGTTTAGAAAAAAAGAAAACGACAATTTTTGTGTTGTCTTCACCTACTCGATGAACCGGGCGTGTGATAACCTGCCATGATCATGCCCTCTCCCTTTATCTCTGTAATCTGTTTTCGGGAGGAGGGCATGATACATTTCTTTCACAGATCACATGCAAAAAAGCCAGAATCTGGACTTTTTTCTGACTAGACAGGAAACAATACGGATGATTTGCGCTGTTCCGATTGGCCAAAACGCCGCCATCTGTTAGTTGTTGTTGATTTCAGTCTGCATTTTTGCTTGCGTAATGAGGAGTGAATAAACACGCCAGTTCATTATGAAATTTCTGCCTGCTCAGTTTTCTTGCCAGTTTGAAGAATGTCTAAATAGAAATTTCATCCATTGAAATATTTTCCATTTCATCGTATACTAAAAATTGCAGTAAAAAATTCACCGATTATTTGAATGCAATTTGATACCGGCTACAAGTTACAGAAGCGACAAACGGGTTCAATTTTCAAATAATTAATTCATGAATGGAATCTTGACCTGGTTTGACTGTAATTCCTGTCATTCTTTCTTTAGAAACCTGCGAATTATTCTGAGCGATCTTCTCTTTCACATCACTTTTCCCTAAAATTGATTTCGAAAGAGACATTATTCCCGCCAAAATTTGCTTCCCTTCTGGTAAACGCTGATTGGCTAATAACATGACTGGTCAAGCAGATGTTAGATTATGTAAATTAGGGGGCGGTTGATTGCTTGTTAAGGTGGCTCGGTCATTAATATTGGAGCATTTTGCAGTGACAAATTTTCCGTCATAACTTTTTCGTTTTTAGAGCGATGGTTGCGAAACTTTGTAAAGAACAACAGATATCATTCGGCAATAATACGAAATATTCTGATTTTATTGATGGTAAATATTTCTTGAGAAATTAGCGCTTAAAAGGACCCTAGTGTTTAAAGAAAATCAAGTCCAGTAAAAAATTTTGCTGATATTTTTTACTGAAATTTCTGGTATCGGCTTTTATTGACATAATAAGTATGCCAGACGAATTTCAGAAAAATCGTTGGAGCAGAAGTCGGTAACTAAAAGGCGCTCAAAATTCAGCTGTGAAATTGTTTTGGAATTTCAAAAATATATTACTACCAGGTGAGGTAGAAGGAGCCACCAGTTCACATTTTCGCGACAAGTAAATTAATTGTTTACTAAAAATGAAAACAAAAGCTGATTGCCTATCGTGGTATTCTTTAAAAGGTACTTTTTAGTTTCAGAAGCAAACTATAAATTGCTCCAAACCTTGCTCTGACATCGAATGACTTGTTCCTCGACATTTTTAAAATATCCCTTGACAGGTGTGTGCAAGTGCGTGCAAAGTTGTTGTTTTGCTAAAACAAACCTACGGATTTTTTGCCGTTCTCGTTGCTGTCACCGTCGTTGTTGCTCAAGGTCAAATGAACCAAAATTTCGACATTTTTTTAGTTCAATTCTAGTGAAATGTGTTTAATATGAGCCAAATAAACATACTATGAAGTTTCAGCTAAATTGAAGCAAGCATCTCCGAGATATTCGCAATTAAAAATTGCTATTTTTTGGCCCTTATCTTCGTAGAGCGGTCAGAAAAATTGTCGGCAAAAACAGCGTATGACGTCAATGTTGGTCAGGTGAAAAAAAAAGGGAAATTAAAAAGCGTTTTTCTAGTCGACTTAGTGCAGAAATTATGGTGGTTTGTGCGGCCACAAACCTAGAAAGAACAAGCAATTTGTCTTCAAAAGTTGCAAGCTTTGGTTGTAACCTTCTTATTCTTTAATTTTCTCAAAGAATACATCATAGTAAAACGGACTTTAACGACATTAATTTCCTTGCGTTGTCAGTACTGGAAATGTGCGTGCGTAGGTCCGATTTTTTCCAAGATGCAATCACAAAATGTGTTCATATAAGGAATTTCCTGGATATAAAAGGTGTGGAGCTCCACTGTGGACACAAAAACAAAATATCTTTGTATAGTGATTTGCCCAAAGAAATTCACGCTTGCCCACAAAGTGTTTGAAGTCATTGAACTTTGTCGCACTCGAGATGATATTTTGAAACCCAGGCTCGATCGGACACTTGTAGTTTCCCAGATCACTAAAATACAAACAAAATCCTCAATGTAGAAGTTTTGGCGTTGATATGTGGGTAGAAAAAGGGTTAAGATGGAATCCACCAGGAAATTAAGTAATTTTAATTTTCAGTGGACAAAAACCTAGTACCAAAATAATTTAAAGAATACTGCATTCTTTTCTTACATTTTTCAAGGGTGAGAGATGTAATTAGTTATCTGTAATAAAACCAAAGAAAATTTCTTATGGGAGCCCGAGAAAATGAATGTCAAATTTCACAAGAATGGTGAAAACACAGGTAAAATTCTGAAAAGTTCATGGCAAGCTGTCATTTTCTCGGGTGCCCATAAGAAATTTTCTAAGGTGTTATTACACATAACTAGTTACATCTATAGCCCTTGAAAAATGTAAAAAAGAATGCAATATGCTTTAAATTATTCTGGTAAAAGGTTTTTGTCCACTGAAAATTAAAATTACTCAATTTCCTGACGCATTCCGTCTTAATCTTTATTTAGTAAAATCTTCCCCAAAATCGGTTTCAAGCAACTATACTTTTTTAGCGGAGCCCCATAGCTAAGTAAATCTATCCATTCCAGAAAATTTGGTAATCACGTGAACATACACCGAGTGATCGAGCGATCGATCAACCGTCCGTCCGTCCGCACCACAGGCATACCAATGTAAAATAACTCAATCAACAGGTATGGCAACCCAAATGCAACTCGAAGTTATTTTGGCGGGAAATCGCATAACCACCCACGCCTTGTAAAGCAGAGACAACTAAAGAGTCAATAAAGACGAAAACGGAAAGCAGAAATTGTTTCTGTATCCGTGTTGTCTAAAGTATTAGGCTTAGATTATTTGTCATGTCCACAAATTTGGAATATAGAGCAAGAGAAAGACAGAGAAAAAGAGAAAGTAGGCGGCAGGCCAGTGAAGCTCAATGAGAAAAAGGGCGACAGAGATCTAGAGCTAGAGATAAAAAGAAAAGGAGACATTTTTTTGTTGTTGTTGGAAGAACAACATGAAAATTTTGTAGCGGCGGTGACAAAAGGAGAAATGCTAGCGGCCACCAATGCAAGGTGAAAATGAGCGGCAGTGAAAAAAAAGTGAACGAGAAGACGTACGTTTCCTCCAAAAAACGTGTAACTAAGAAGTTTCTGAAAGTTTAACGTTGTAATCGTGCAAAACAACTGGAAAGCAATGTACAAAAAAAAGTGTGCTGCACATGCCAAGTTGTTTTTTTGCTAATAGGCCATTTTACTGTTGTGTGCTCAGTGCCCTGGCCTTTGAATAGACGCGAGGCTGGCGGTGACCTTGTTTCGCTACAAACCTTCTTGTTTTTCATATGTAAATGATCATGTTCACGGGCTTGTTAGCATGAGAATACCACGATTTGCACTTGAAAAGCAGGCAGGTTTGTAACAAAACAAGGTCACCGCCAGCCTCGCGTCTATTCAAAGGCCAGGGCACTAAGCACACAACTGTAAAATGGCCTATTAGACCTACTGCTGTTTTTCACTGTTCTCCGGCGTTGCCTTCGACGCTTAGCATTACACGATTTTATATTTTGTTTGAACAAACTATAAATATTATAGAGAGTTTCGCTTTCAGCCCTGGCTAAATCTATATATTAAACTTGATCCTTTCGCCCAGATAAATTTTGCTTTGCCTTGTCAAGTTGAACATGCATAACACCTGTCAAAAACCTACGCGTAAGATTTCCTTCAAACAAAATTAAAGTTATATTTATTGCAAAAAATTTTGTCCAGTTGTGTATATGACTGAATTACCGACTGAAGTCACTTTAACAACCATAGATGCCACTTTTAAGATCGCAAAGAGATACGACAAGCAAAGAACAATTCCATCATGCATAAAATTCAGCTTATGTGAACTAAAAAGCTTCAAAAAGGTTGCAAATCAACAAATTTTCATTAAATAGACATAAGGCTAAAGGCAGCCTTGTTCCCAGATTCTCTCTCCTATATTCCAGTATCTCTATCTACCACTAAAAGCGATATGTTTTTCTATTGCCCATCGTAACAAAGGCGGGTTAGGGGGTAGAAAAAGCAGACATTTCATTTTAGACTATAGCTTTCCGTAAAGTCACTAGATCTAAAATATTATTGTGATGGTTCAGCAAATATGAATTCCCTGCTCCGGGGGCGCTAGCTAAGATCGCTTATGATGTAGATTTTGCAGTATACTGATTCGACCCGATTACCAGCACCCGCTGTCAGGCAAACATTGCTACTTTCAATGCAAGTTTAACATAGAGGATTTTTCCTTCAATATAAAACACGCTTGTAGAACTCAAGATCATAGATTTTTACTAGCGATTGATGTCGTCGGTTAAACCGCGATAACGCAAGTTTTCACTTTCACCTCTGGTAAAATAATAAACTTGTTTGTCTTGTGGAAGTTCTATTTGAGTAGAAATTTCCCATGGTTTCAGTTATAGTTGTAGGGTTAGCAAATCTATCTTGCTCTTGCGGAACCTTGCGATCATTGCGTGAACGAGACACAAAATTGTGATAGAAAGGACTCCTCCCTCAGAAATAATTTTGTTTTGGAGCCACGTGACCAGACCCAACAAGGGTCTCTCTCTCTCTTGCTCCATAGGGACGGGTAGGAGAGAACCCTGGGAACGAGGTTGAGGCTAAGGCTCTTATACCTGCGGACAATGAAGAAGTGAATTTTCTGTACAAAAACAGCCCACTTAAAGATCTTAAAAGCAAAAGATCAGTTGCAAGCTGCGCAACCAAGCTACGATTCACCATTTAGCTATTTTTAATAACTGGTTCATGCAAGGGTCTTCATTCAAGCAAATTACACTCAGCAAACTGAATGATTAGAAAATACAGAAAACAGCACATAAGGGTTTGTTTTGCTCCCTTCAGTCAAATCCAGCTCCTGCAATTGCTTACGGGCAAAGAGTCAATCTATTGTTTCGAAGTCAATGCCCGCAGTTGTCGTTCTCAGCTACTTCACAGCACTTGAAAAGAAAAATTTGCGTACAGAAAGAAAACAAAAATATGTAATTAAAAATGAAAAAACAAAAAAGCTCCGACTATTATTACATGAGCAACAGAAAAATGATCGAAGTAGTCTTTTCTCGAGCAAGCTTGCTGGGATTCTGATTTCCGAGAAAGTTTTCAGCGCGCAAGTTTGTTCACTCGCATGCGTTTATAGCATTACGGTTCTTTGATTGAACACAAGGACGACGCTGGTTCTGCAGAGGTAAATAAATCTGGGCATAGGGGCACGTAAAAAAGTAACTGTAACTACTAATAACAGAATACAAGCGGGTTTTAATTCAGCCCGGCGAAAGAAGGCGAAGTTCTGGACACAAAATCAACTCACAAATTGAATGCACAATTATCAGAAAGATACTCGCCTCTTTGGAAATGTTCCGCAAAACATTTTATTCCACCTCAGACTGGCGGAATGACCCGTTTTTAATCTAACATTGGTTGTTCTGAATCCAAACTAATTTTCAAGTGACAAATAAACAACAACGACAACAAAAACAAATAAAAAGGCTTTACAAGGAGCAAACGTTCGCACCTCGTATATTTCATTCAGTCTAAGTCATAACTCTCACAAAACAGCACAGAACGACACAAACAAACATAGTCAACCACAGGCGGACCATCCGAACTGTTCGAGGGATCGTGATGTCACGTGGGCATGTGATCCCATAAATTAACTGTAATTCGTAAGCCTGCACTCGGCTTGATTCAAGTGATCAGTAGGAATGCTTCATAAAACACAGAATTTTGCACCTTTTGATCCCAAATGTAACTATAATGTAAGAAAAATGAATAAAGATAACTAACCGTATGTTTTTAGTGTCGTGTTCTGCGATTTTGTGGCGTTTTCAGTCACTTGAATCTGACACCCCCGACTAATACATAATAAAACGACAAGGCTTGCAAACTTGGCGGCCAGCCGCCGCACAACGGCGTGACGAGTAAACACAAAGAGTATTTCATGGTCATTCTGCTCTAATCTCAGGTTATATTCAAATTTTTGATGCCAAGCGAAAGGCGACTTACAGCAAAAAAAATAATCATGATATTATGACCTGCATCAGCCGCTTCCAACCGTCATTTTTGGCGGGTACGACGTGGGCTGTGGGGAGGTGACAAGGGTTAATTGTCGTTCATTTGAATTTTATACGGCCGTAATGATCGTCCACTTTGGTGCACATCCTATGACAATGGCGATTTTGGGGCGCATGTGAAAATTCGTGGCGTCACTTTAGGTCATTAGAGGCAAGCAATCTCAACCATTTTTGACATCGACCTTCGCAAACTATCTGGCTTTGATATTCGGGAGGCTGGGTAGCGAGGGACGTGTGGAAGTGGGAGAAAATGGACAAAATTCAGAAGGCGTTGTGCTGCGGCCGGCCACAGAATTTGCAAGCCTTGTAGTTTTATTATGTAAAAATCTTTACCCAAATCTTACTTACGATGGTTCTTTTTAGTGTTTGGTGAAGGTAAAGCGACAAAAGAAAATATTTCACTTTTTTGTTCATGTGACCTTTAAGCTCCCCATTGTTGTGATCCAAACATTTTTCTACCATGGTAACGTGACGTCACACTTCTCCTCTCTATTAATTGCTTTCTTAGTCCTTGTTTACTATTAACTGAATCACGGGGCGCAGAGGACTTATGTTTGACCTTGATTAATTGCAGTTTTAAAATATTGGTTGCAGTATATTAGGGAGGGAGGGGGAGGGGGGTGATCGAAATGTGCAAAGCGAAGTTGAAGATATATTTGTTAGCTTCACCCTAGAAGAGGAGTTAGTTTCAAGTAAGCACTTCATTTAAGTGCACTTGGAAATCTTAAGTTGCTCTGTAGAAAACATGGCTTCACACTTGCAAAAAAAGTATATTACTTGAAGTAAAAGGTGTCAATCTTCTTTCACGGTAAAATACTACCACTATGAAGCTACAACCACATGAGGCCTTTGCGTTGGAAAAGAGTTTTTTTGTAGTTTCGTATACAGCTATTTCAAGAAAGGTTGTTGGTAAAAATGTCCACGCGACAATCCCAAAAGGGATATGCTCAATACACTATTCCTGACACTGAAGCTGTCACACCTATTTTTGTTGCTTTCCTTTAGCACTCACAAACATACGTCTATGGCCTCATTAGTAGTTAAGGCCAAAGATGTGTCGGCCTTCGGCCCACACCGAAAATTCCCACCGCAAGCGAGAAAAACCTCTGGTACCCTGGGTATGGCCTCACAAGCTACTCTTTCAAATTTCTTTAAGGTGGCTCGACCCAGCATCTTTCTAGGTACACCTTCCGTCTGTCACTTACAAGGATAAGAAAGAAAAATCCAAGTAAATAACAAGGGTAGAAGAGAGACAAGAGCGGTGCATAAAAAACGAACTCGACGAAAAGTTCTGATTACCATCAGCAAGTTTAATCAAAGTTCAATGTTTGATAAGTTCAATTGAAGCTGATTGCATGCCAAGATGAAAAAGTGTTAACCACGTGCCATAAAGCCGAATGTCGTGATATGTCGTGATTGTGGTTTCGAACTGAAATAAAACAGTAAAAAGGGAAAAACTAATGTAACTAATAATCTAGGATAAACTGATGTATTCGAGAAAATTACAGCTACCATTCGCAATAACGATAGCAACTAAGAAATGTCAATTACTTACTTACGCAAATCAAACGAAAGGCTAAGAAAATAATCAAATATACGATGACTATACTAAGACAGCAGCTAATAATGAATAAACTCTATATTAAAGATCAGTATAAACCTAACCTAATAACTCCAGAATGTAACAATATTCCGAGAATAGCCGACTCGGTAACAATAAAAGAGCAATAAAAAACAGCTCCTAAACTAAACTTAACCAAAAAAACGATTAAAAGGAATTAAAGAACCAAAAAACTGAACCCCAAAACATAAAGAAAAGAGAGTACTATCTTTGGTTTGCACACGCAGAAAACCTGATTAGCCTTGACATAAAAACTGGTGCACAGAGAACCTATGGCCCAATGCCGAGCTGAAGTTGACGGATCGAAGTCTACACTAGTACTGATGGCTGAGAAAACCTAATTGATTAGTCTGCTACATAGGCGTTTTTAGTGTCGTCACGCAACGCTCCTTCCCACTGGGAGCGTTGCGTGACGACACTAAAAACGGCTGTGTAGCAGACTACTAATTGATATACTTAACAAAAAAAAGACACGCATGCAAAACCTAGCGATAATGGCAGTTTGCCCAGCGGAAATAGCAGCCAACAGCTGGTCTAACACGGTGGATTAAATTAAGCGAGGAAAAAGGCTTATATTTCCTACGCGACCTTGTATTTCATTTGAAGAACTTTTTCAACAATTTCTTCGTGACTTGAGCACAAAAGAATTTTTGTTTATCTCTTTGTAGAAAATTTGATCGTGACTTGAGCGCATAAGGAATGCACTTATCTGTTATAGAATTCAACAGAAAATACATGAAACTCACAAAATTTGACATCCTAGTGAACGAAACTACTTATTTGTTCACTTCAATAAGAGATAGCAATAGTTTCACGGGGTGTGCGAAAATTTTGGAAGTTCTGGAGGGTTGAGGGGGTGAATTTTGAGGGCCGATTTTGGAAAATCCAGAGGGAGGGGGTTCATACGGCAAATCCCTTTGTGGGGGTGGTATGGCTATTTTCTGGAACCACACAATTACAAAAAGAGCTCAGCATTGCGTTTTACCCTGATTTAAATGTTTTCGTGTTTTCGAAATCGCGGAAGTCTACTCGCTTTTAGCCGGTTGTAGAGTGTATGAGGGTCATTTGCCAAACGAACGAGTGATAAAAACTTTTCAGAAACATCCAAAAAGTAGCAAATTTGTCTGCATTGACTCCAGTCTTCAGTTTACCTTCTTGTAGATTTTTGTGAAACTTCGCACAACAGAAGACAAGCACCCAAAGTATAGGAAACATCAAGCTTTTCTAAAGAAAATGCCGATAAGGGTGCAATTCGATTTAGAGCTAAAACTATTGTGACGTCATTGTCACGTGATATATATATTTCGATCGACCCCAAAATAATATCATGATAAAGTTAAGTCTATGTGTAATACATGTGTTTACAATAGTTTTACAAAAAAGATAAATTTGTTTAAGTCAAAGAGATTCAAAGATGGAAGGTCTACCTACAAAAAGACTGGGTCGAGCCACCTTCAGAACAGTGAAATCAAAACCACCCACAATACCTTTCGGGACTGTCACGTGCACTTTTGTGACAACCTTTCTCGAAATAGTTGTATATTTTTGAGTACTTTGAACTCAAAGGGTTTTGACCCTAACAGACATGCTTACGTACTTCGCTTTTTACAAGTACTTAGCAGTGTCATAGAAAAAAAACACAAGCGAAGTCTTCCTCTGTATTTCTTTAGAACGGCTCAACAACGCGCTCTTTGGCAAAGAAATCGCCGAAGAGCTTTGGGCTTGGACTCTTCCGCAATGCTCTTAGCTAAGACGTGTTGAATGTTTATCTGTCCGTTCATAGTGTATACCCGATACTTGGCGGCGAACTTCGACTTCATTTAACTAGAATCGTTTCCATGATCACCAAGTAAAGTTAAAGTTGGCACATATTACCTCTTCACACTCAAAGTAGGTTCCAGGTACACTTACATTATGCTTGCAAGCTCTAGTGTGAAGCCAACAATTGTCTCTCTCAATGAGGTGGTTATAACTATAGCAAGCGAGAAAGCCAAAGCCAATTTACGACAATTTTTTATTATCTCAGTAAAAAGTTAAGACCGCATCAGTAAGTCTCGCCAACATGAAAAAACAAGAGAGTGCAACATGCTGCCAATTATCAATGTCTTAAATTGCAATTGAAGTTTTGAACAATTGTTAAAGTATGATAATGCTTTTTTGAGCACAAAACACCCCTTCGCAGGCAACATTATTGTACTGATTATAATAGAAGTTTTCCAGGATAGGAAAAATTACCTGCGAGGTGCTCGTCCATAGATGAAAACATTTTGCCTGTTGTTTCTGAGGAGCTTGTGACATTTGAAGAATTGTCTGTTAAAGTTAAAACAGATGGAACCGGGCTTTTACAGTAAATATGGACACAAGAGATAATTATATAAGTGAGCTGTGGATGAAGCATATGACAGATGGTTATGAATTAAAAATCTTACAACAATATCTGAAGGGAAACAGTTTTCCACGTATTGCTATCCTGAAGCTTGCAAAAGGCTGAATAGTTCCCAACATTTCTATTACGATTTCAGGCTATAAGTGTTTCTGCTTAGTTTAGTTTTATTTTATTCTATTTTTAGATTTTGTTTTTCTTTTGTTTTGTTTGTTTGATTGTTTGTTTTTCGATAATTTTCTATTAGTTTCTTCAATTTAATTTTAATCACGAAGAGAGTATACTTGTTACAGAAAAATCAAAGCAAAAAAACGAACAAACAAAAAACGAAACATAAAAGAAAAACAGACATTCCTACCTTGGATCCAGCTGATCATCTTCTCAATAAGATCATTTATCTGCTTGGCCCAGTTGTATCTCCTGCCGTAAGAATAACGCAAGGTTTCCGCTTCCTCAAGTCGGTTTTTCCTGTCCTTAGCCCAGACTTTCTTAATGGCTGAGGTCCACTCTGCAGGGTCCTCTGTGTTAATCACAGAGCTTGAACCAAGGGGTACACTGCACAGGGTCTCTCCAAAACCAGAGTTTCGGCTGACAAGCACAGGAAGACCAGCTGACAGGGCCTCAAGTCCTGTTAACCCAAAGCCTTCTGTTCTTGAAGGCATGACTACAAGATCTACTTCTTGAAACAAACGTTTCAAACTCTCTCGGTCTGGTAGAAATCCCCTTACTCTCAAGCGACTTGCAGGAACACCACATTCGGTCAACCGGTTTGCGATTTCTTCGTGTTTCCCATCTGGAGCTCCAACAAACACAAGACGGGTATCTTCTAATTCAGCGACCGCTTTCCCAGCGATGTCAAATCCTTTCAGTTTGAAATCCTCTATGTCTCCACGACCAAACACCAAGACACTGTGTTGTTGCCTTTCGCTAGGAGCCTGTTTCACAGCCGCAAACTCTTCAAATACTCCCGGAGTGAAGTCAACAACATTGTCATCTTTTTGGCAGCTGCGAAGATAGGAGCGAAAGGCCTCACTCAACTTTGGGCCAACCCCAACAACATGATCCGCCATTTCACACAGTTTTATTTCTGTCTTTTGTTTTTCTTCGCCCTTTGAAATTGCGTCTGAATAGTTTTTAAACATTCCAAGTTCTTCTGGATCTGTGTGCACCACTTGAACCCATTTGCACCGTTTAGATTTTTTAATGATTTGTGCCTGTTTACCGAGTTTAGCGCCATGACCTATGATAATGTCGATTTGCAAATCTTCAGGCGGAAAGCAAAGCCAGTCCAGTTGTTCAAACCCAGGCAGTGGTGCTGCCTCAACGATCTTTACATTATGCTTTAGGGCTAACTTCTTGTCGTCTTGACTGCATTGCGGTAAAAAGAAAGAGACTTCCACTTCAGGACATTTGGCTAACTGAATGGCCAACTCCCTGTTGATGGTGGAAAGCCCTCCTTTGCTTGATCCCCATTCAGAAGCCAAAAAAGTCACTCTTACTCGGTGGGTTTTATCTACTCTATCATCACGTGATTCAGATTCCCATAAAGAAGATGCCATAGCCAAATAGCAAGATTTTTAAACATCTAAAATGTAAAAATATACAGTTACTTTAGTAGCCAGTGGGATACAAATAGACATACCCTCAAGTCAAACACGTTTGTTAAAAATGTTTTTTTCTGGCTCCAAGGGCTCGATTATTCTAAGAAGGCTTATTGCTAACACAGAATCAGTATATTTATGTTTGCTAATAATTTGGTAGTCTTTGGGGGCCTGGTTATGCCATAGAGTTTTGAAAACTCTGACAAACTACAGTGTGGGTGGGTGGGCAGAACCCAGATGGAACTACTTGCCTTGCTAAGCGTGCCATGGTTTTTATGTAGTGGGTAAAATTTACCTGTGTCGCAGGCACTCCTGCTTAAACCTTAACGCGATATGTGGGCCGACTGCAACACAGGCTATTTTAAATCAGATTTAACCTAGTTTGGTTCAAATTTCCTTTGTTTCCTAGCACTAATTGTTCATAGGAAACAAAAGAAATTCTCGCGGTTTACAAAATGAGCACGGATTTTGCCTGCAACCTTTGTACAAATCACTTTACAGGGTTGGCGTAGGATAGAAATTCAATTTAGTGCCTCTTCACATGATTGAGCCCGGTTGACCGGACTGTCCCGGTTACCAGGACCAATTTCGCCTTGAGTTCATATGAGAAATTCCAGCCTGGTTTTGAGATGAGAAAAGGCCGTAGATTCTAGGGACGAGTTCTGGTACAAAATCCGAGAAACAAACCAAACTAAGGGTGAAACACAAAAATTATTATTCTATAGCTTTGGCAACTGCAGTCAAATGGGATACTTATGATGTGAAAAATACAGCAGGCAAAGCAAGATGATGCCATCCGGGCAGCCCTATTGCAGAAGAATTTATCCCACTCTAGATCTCATCCTGGTAACTGGGCTCAGTAGAGTGTTCATACAGCGCAACTTTCCACCCACTTACCAAGATCCCGATTAGAAAAAGCAAGATCTCGGGAATCGAGCCAGCCTGTCCCTTCATATGAACACATCAAAAATTTTACACAGGATTTAGAGGTGGTAACTGTGAAATCTCGGAAACCGGGCTCATGTGTGAAAAGGCCCTTGGGAACTCACGGGGTTCGATCTCCAAGACCTGGGCGAATATTGGGGTCTTGAAATAACTGCGAAATGAAGGTATTGTGTTGTAAGTAGCTAGACCTTTTCGTGGCTCGAATAAAAAACATAAAAGGGCAGTCCCGCTACAGGTTGAGATGTGTAGTTTTTGAACAACAGGTACTTGATATCAAGTGAAATGAACAGCAAAAATTGAAACTTGATTGGAAGGGATCTACATTGTGAGCCAGTCATAGGATAAACAGGGGTCCCCAGGCCACAGGCCCCTTTTTTAAAAGAATACTACACACTTGAAACTGTTGGCCACCACTATAGTATGCCCGGTTCAGATGCTGAACTATTCATGAGCCAAACATACTTCGAATTAAGGTCGACCCAAACTATTTAGACCATACAAATTGATTCAGACGCCGATCTTAATTCCAGCTCAACTAAATTCAAAAGGAGAAAAATGCTCATTTTGGTCTGAACTGATTGCAAAATACGTTCACCGAACTTTTCATGTACTTAATTCAATGTATTAGGTTCGGCTCAGGGAAATATCGGCATCTAAACCAGGCTAAGTAGTGAACGTAAAGCCATCATCAACTACATTTTATTAGTAAAATCCAACTAGTGGTCTATTATCATTTCTGCGTTCTGATTGGTTGAGCGACCACTAGGCTATATGTTATGGCGACTGAATCACGTTGTGCCTGCTAAAGTTGTTTTGTCTCGATATTTTTGACCAACTAGTTGGATTTTACTAAAACAACTATCCCTCTCGCCCTCATGGACTCTACTTTTCTCCTTTTATGTTACAGACGTCTTAACTTCTTCACAGGAAGTCTGCTAGGTGCATGACCCCATGGCTGTAATCCAATTGGATTATAATTTTCATCATAAATAAATTGTGCACTACGAGATCTCATGAATTCCACTGCCTTTATTTCGTCTACAACAACACTTTCCTTATGTACAGTTAACTCCACACATATGGTTGTCCAAAAGGGACAACATATCAAGATTTATTTATATACATCAAGACTTACTTTTATCTACATCAAGATTTATTTATATATACCAAGATTTATTTATATAAATCCAGATATATTCATATACATTGAGATTTCCTTATATATATCAAGATTTCTTTATCTATATCAAGATTTATCTGTAAACATAAAGTTTCATATATTAGTGTTACGATTAGTTTATTTACATCAAGATCCATATACATTGAGATTGTGATAGGCTTACATGAAGTACTAAGTCACATTGGTTTGCCTGGTTAATACTTTGCTCCAAGGGCCTAGCAAAATGGTGCAAGTTATACAAAATCTCGAGCAGTTTTTCAAAGCATTTCTAAGAGAATGCTACACAAAGCAATTGATTGATTTAACAGGTGCTGTGAGCCCAATCAAGCGAGAACCCTACTTGACTGCCTTCATGCCTTCCAAATAACTCTCGGTATCAACATAGCAAACACGTGGAATCTGAAATATGAAACAAAATCACAGAAACAGAATACAGAATTCGTAAAAGAGGGTCCCAAGTGTAGAGCGTAAAGTATATTTTTCATGATTCCAGATTCCGGATTCCGTGTTTTTAATAGTGCTGCCTTGATCCCTCATGGATTTCAGATCCGTTTCTTTAATACATCAACAAACTTAAAAGGTCTTTATGTATGATATAGGTAAGTTATCCAAGTACAATGATGAAAGGAGGGTTGTCCAAGACTCACAAATAGACTCCATCAGCATTAGTGGTGATAAGAAGGGTGTCCATTGGTACCAAAGGTAGGACTGGTACCAACAGAAAATCACGTCATTCCAATACTTCTATTGGTTAGTATGCGTCTCATTAAGGGGACTTAGATTATATTGGACAGGTGTGTGAACCACTCTTTAAGCTTGGCTGTCCAATGGAATACATGGGTCAGGAACTGAAGCCAGCCACAGTACATTGTTGACAAGGATCTTGTTGAATGGCAGTGCAAAGAGCCTTTAAGTGGGTTTATATCACAGAAATTATATGATTTGGTGATGTAATGAATTTGAAATCAGTCCAAATTGGAGACTGTGATTTGGAAGGGCACGCTCACAGTCGGAGGCTACTGTCACGGAGGGATCTTGCTCGATTAAGCTCATAGTGCCTGTTAAATCCTTCAATTGCTTCATATAGGGTTCTCTTAGAGATGCTCCAAGAAATTGTTCGAGATTTGGTTTAACATGCGCCATTTTGTGAGGCTCTTGAAGCAAAGTATTAACCAGGCAAACCAATTTGACTTGGTACTTCATGTAAGCCTATCATAATCTCGATGTATATGGGTCTTGATGTAAACTAATCTTGACACTGATATATGAAACTTGATGCTTATAATAAATCTTTATATACATAAATAATTAACAATTATTCCTCGAGCCCAAATGGGCTATGAGTCAATAGCCCATGAGGCCGAAGCTATTGACTCAGAGGCCATGAGGGCGAGAGGAATAATTGTTTTAGTAAAATCCAACTAGTTGGTAAAAAATATCGAGAATAAAAAAATTTTAGCTAGTTAAAGCTAGACTTTAATCCTTTTTTGTACTGTAACTACAGCGACAACAACTGAAACTTACGTTGGACTGGCAACAAACTTAAAGGAACGTTACAGAAACCATCAGTCCTCCTTTCGACGCTCAAACAGAAGAAATGAAACGGAACTATCAACAGGGTTTGCAAATTTTATAGGTGAGTGGAGTCAGTGTGACTTCTGCTTCACAAATTTTGGAGTCATTTTGGAATATTTGGAGTCAAGTATCACAACGAAAAAAGCCATTTTCAGACCTTCCAGCACGTGGTCCTGGCATGTATACACTATCGTGAGGGATACAAGAGGTAGCTGTGGCGTCCGCTGACCTGGAAAGCTCAAATCCATGATGGCGGTCATCGAGTAAACTTTGATCGTAATTTACCCTCTTCCTGTTTTGTCGTGCAGTATAATTCTTTAATTTTGATGATTTAATTAAGGTTTACAACGTTTACAATTAACGTGAATTGTATTTGTTGTGAAAAAGGTAAGGACAAAACTGTGCTTGTTACCGCAAATTTCTGGAGTCGAAGTGGCTCCATGTTTGTTACCGAAAATTTCTGGAGTCGAAGTGACTCCCTCCGTAACCTCCGTGGAGTCATCTGAACAATTTTGGCGTATTTGCGAACCCTGTATCAAAATATATTTGGACTTTACAAGACTCTAACAAACCTTTCCAGATAAAATGGAAAGTTTTAAAGAAATGTAAAGCCTATAGCAACATTAGCAAAAAATGTAATCTTTGTCTTTATGAAAAGTTTATCATCATTTGTAAAAAAGAGCTTTGTAGCCTAAACAGGCGAAACGAACTAGTGAGTTCATGCCCCCACAGAAACAGATATGTACTTCAGAACTCTAGAGTAACGTAACTAAGACACAATCCATCTGTTACCTAGATACTATCTCTTAACGCATCCCTATATTTACTGCCAGCTTTTAATTTTAACGGCCAATCGTTGAAGTTGCCTGATGAGTGTGGTCCTACAATTTCGGACCATACGAAACAGCACTGTCGCAATAAACGATCAATGATTACTCCTGAAGCCTGAACTCCTGTGATTATTAATAGTCAATGCTCTTCAATTAAATGAATTGAGCGCTCTATGGAATACGTTCTACCCAGAATCCAAGTATTTATATATATATATATATATATATATATATATATATATAAATTTTGATGTTTATAAATACATCTTGATGCATATAAGTAAATTTTGATGTATATATAAGTAAATCTTGATGTATATAAATAAATCTTGATATATTGTCCCTTTTGGAAAAGCATATCTCCCTCTGCCGAATGTAAATACATATAACATATGGTGGCAAGGTCTTAAAAATTTAATGGAGATGAC